ACAATTGACTCATATCCAGTTCTCGTTTTCCGAGTCAAACAGATTTAATCACACCAGTGGAGAATTCAAATGGCAGTCATTTATTGTTCCTTTGTGTATCACCTCGAAGCCGAATTGATAATTCAGTAGTGTGTGGCCTTGAGTTTCGTGGTCTCGACCGTTTGTGCACTTGGTTTGGTTCAGAATGTGAAGATGAGAAGCTGCCGCTCACAACTTCCTTTTCGTGACCTCGTTGATAGCCATCGCTTTGTTATACTGCCAGAATTCAAGTGAAGGATTTGCTAGAAAATATTGGACCATTTTGTTTTAACTCAAATATGACGTATTTCCTCTATCCACGTAGACCACTTCATTTGAATTTAGAGGAATTAGTTGCCTTGTCTTTCATGCGACCTTTTGTTTTATTTTGGCCACATTTTCAGTTTCTCAATTTCTATTTGCTGCCCTTGTATAATGGACACTCTGTTCATCACTTTTTCACTTGTACAAATGGCTTAACATGGGTATATCAAATTTATTTAGAGATCACCTAATCTACATAGTCACCAAAAATTTGTTAAAGTAGACTTACCATTAAAAACACATCCTAGTTTGAAGTTTCTCATAACGCTTTTTTTCTGGGTAAGCATTAAGCAATACAGGTCTGCCCAGTTGGAGCTTATTTTAATTCAATTTTTCACCTTTTCATCATAAATAGGGGTACTACAATTTTGAGGACGAACATTCAGTTTTTACCAGTTGTCACGATACTCCACGCGGATGCAGGAGTTTGGGCAGACACTGACAATCTATCGGTACTGCGTTAAGTACTTCCATCCACTTGCACCTTGGTTTTATAGTCAGCGGCTTTTGGTGCTTTCAGCAGAGCCTCAGTCTTGTTCAGTCCCCTAATTCGACATCTGTGCTTTTACCTGTAACTGGCTGCATATAAAGGTCTTGAAAACCTTGTGTCTCTGGCAGAGCGGCTTAGCACCATGGATCGACTCAGTAGAACGGGGATGTTCGCTGTTTCCAAGGCCAAGCACTTGATGATCAGAATTGCCTGCTGTATCAACTTACTTGAGCTCTTGACGTCAAAACAAGGAAATGCAATTCGATACCTATGAAATTTAGGTACAATTATAACACATTGCGGCATAGATTGCATGATTTCGACAATCCTGATGATCGAAAACGCGTTCAACGGAAACGTTTGCATTACTTTTGCTTGAACTAAAGTGGTTTCTCATCGTTTTGAGGCAATCATTTCTCTATTTCCTTTTTAAAGGTTATTTATTACACCTGCAGACATGGGCCAATGCCCATACGTAACATCATCTGCAGTAAAATTAAATTAGCAATCAAATGAAAGGTAGGGGCATAAATTTGAAAGTAAAAGTCTTACTTTAACTTTGTAATTGGTTCGCATGGCTGAAGGGCTGTTTAACTTTGGCTGTTCATCTGTATTCGTGACATTGTGGAAAACTTATAGCTTTCTATCATTGAGCATGGCTTTATTTCGTTTTCACCGCCGCAATACTTTTGGAAAACTGTGCACTGAAATAAAGAGCTTTCAAATACGCTCATTCGACATCTCGCTACCATTTTGCCTACGTTATATATAACTATTTTATGTGTTTCAATTTCCTTCGAAAAAACTCTTTACCGTATTGTCGTTTGAGCCTTGGATGGTCTATAGAGGACTTGGATAATTGCGACTTGGTCATCTTTATGCGTTGGTCGTATCGGAAAATATCTGAATTTCTTTGTTTTTTATTGCGAAACGTCTCTTATCCGATTTTATTTCTCATGCTTTTCCTCATCTTAGTTCTGTCTGGTAGGAAGTAAGTTTTTAGAATGCTGAATTTCTCCAATGGCTACACATGCCAAGGTTTTATCAAAATGCCTCCTCGCTTAATTTGCACTAAATTCACTCTATCGTCGGCCTTATAGCCTCTCCTTGTAAATGCACTTCCATTTCCTTTAAAACCTAGTCGCATCCAGCCTCGGAGACTGAGTACGAGAGGATGAACAGTGACGTGCGAAGTGAGTACGACTCCTCTTCGGGCTCAGAGGATGAGCCGTCGGCTCTACGGGAACGTACCCCTCGTCTTTCTTCTTCCACGCAGTCTTCCTCACCAACAGATCCAGTCACTGCTCCTGTCCCTGCTCATCTTCATCACCGCCACCACCAACTCCAGCAACAGAAACTGCAGCAGTTACACGTGAGAACTAGTGGGCTTGATGATGCCGCTGGTGGTGGTGGCAGCAGTGGTGGTGGCATCATTAACGCCTCTCCCTGTCCTGCTGATGCAAACTCACAAACCAGCCCAGCTCAAGACCCTGATGTTGGTGGTGATTCCGGTGATGATGACGACGTAGGCCCTTTTGCGCTCTGGTATCTCCATACTCTTCAGGTATTTTTTTCTGCCCATTTTTATTCATTCCTAATCAACATCGGTTTCCCTTCACTTTGCCTCTTGTTTCTGTACTTAGGGGTTCTCGTATTCCTCCTGTGTTCCACTGGAAACCGGTATGTTCACCGTTTTAAGTGAATTAAAAAAAACCACCTATACCCATGCTTACATCATTGGACATGGTAAAGTTTCCTAGCACATTTGATTAGGTCGGATTTTTTTACTTAAAACGACGTTTTTTCCCACTCATCATTACTAGTTTACTAACTCCTTTTTCTGAATCTATTTCATCCTACTACTTGGTACTCCTAATTTTGCAGTTCGAATCTAAACAACTGGTTTGTCTTATACTTCATTGGTTCAGACTTCAAAACTGCATCGGGAATCCAAGGGTTACAACTGTTCTCGACTATGATAGAAACCGCAGCAACCCACAAAATTAACAAAAATGGCTATTACTAAAAGCATGCTTCTTTGCTCGATTCTTTTGTACCTAATTCTACTTTCTTTCAAGCTGACATGCGGTAGAAACGGCCGGC